GGATTAATTAGATTAATTTGAAAGATTTTTTTCAGCGAAGATGCCTCATGAGAATATCTCCAGGTGTGTCCCTCACTTTTTCGAAATTCACTTTCATTTGCGATGTTTGGGGAAAATTGTATTTTTTAAATGGAAATTTGTTCGTTAATTTTCTCAAGAACAGCTGAAGATATGAAACTGAAACTCACAGACATGATAAAGCATTAAATATAGATATGGTGATCGACCTTTATTTTTCGTCTTTCGTACTTCCGGTCGCAAACGGAAGTGAATTTAAAAAATGTGAAATTTACAACTTTTATGTTTTCCAATATTTTTTCTTGGATATACAGTGTCAATAAAGTGGTTTCTAAAAATTCTATGTTTGTTTTCTGCATTTTGATTTATGCATTTCTTGCAAAGATATGACCGATCCAAACTTTCTCGTACTGTTGCGCGTTCGAATCCTGCTGGGAGGTTGTTTTTCTCTTTCATAGTTGTAAATGGTATTTCTCTCTTTGAAGACATGTATGGTAGTTTTTGCTAATTTTTCAAAAAGTTTTGTTATGAGAGATTCTAAAGAAAACCTTTAATAATCATGATCTATGTTGAAAGACTGTGTAACATAAACGCAAACGGAAAAAAAAAATACATTCAGTAAAGTATTTAATGAGGTGATGTAGCAGAGCGTTCTGGAGAAAGTCGGTCGGAAGACCATGCACTTGTTGCCTTAGCAACAAGAAACGTATCTAGTTTTTGGTTTATTCAAGCATGCGTATTAAGGATATTAAAGATAACAAGGTGCGCAATATCATCTATGAGCAATGGCAGTTGGCAGTAAGCAGTGAGCAGTTGGCAGTATAAGCAGTGAGCAGTTGACATTAAGCAGCTGGCAACTGGCAATGAGCAGATGGCAGTAGTCAGATTGCTGTCGTATATGAAATTCCATAGTGTTGGGGCAGTTTTTCCTAATTCATAATTTACTGCCTTCGTCATGCAGAATTGAATGTAGTTGTAACTGATGAAAAGGTGAAAATAGAGAACGGTTCACCATTTGTCTTCCTAAACTTTTAAAGAATTAAAGTTCTTTTTATAATTTTGCAGATCAATTGTAATGATATTAGAGAATTAGAGAATGATATTAGAGATATTGTACTTGGAATTAGATTTTAGATAATTTATTATAAAAATTCATTTTCTCTACAGTTTTCAAGACAGGAAGACTTATTTTGCAGATCACTCTTACATATATACTGAAAGGTAAAAGATACGCACGCCTAAATATACAGGGTTATCATTTATTACTATTCGACATGATGATAGTCAAGTACAATTTTATGTAAAATTTCATTCATAATTGCCATTTATCAAGGAATAATTTAGAATCAAAGGATATTTTACCATCAGCGTGATTGACTACAGGGAGTAAGGGTCTGAATCTTAAAATTTAGAATTTCAAAAGACAATATCGCCTGTGTCCTTATCCTGCATTTACAGCAGCTGGTATTATTTTGAGCATAAAATTGATCAGATGATTGATTCTTCTAAAAGTGATGGTTTTACTCTTGGTTGCCTCAGCTCATTAGTGGTGTTGAAAATCGATATAGAAGTGAAATAGTGAAAACTTTAATTTGTTGGTCATATGAAAATCTAGGCATATCCTAGCAATGTGCGTTATTTTCGTGGAACATGTTTGTAAAAGGATGGTCTGGATGCTTTGAGGCTTGACTTCATGAGACTGTATTGCGTACATTTTTCTTTAATTCTGGCACTGCAGCAGCCAGGAATGCGACTAGCAGTTTTACTTGAAGTTTGAAATCTGCTTCGTCTCTCTCGGGAAGTTCTGTTGTTCCCTGAAGACGTCCACTTCCTGGACGGTTTTTACCCTTCCAGCCAACATGAGTCTTCGATCTAGCCGCGATACAGTGAATTTTGACACGTTGAATTGCTCAGCAAATTGTTTTAAACATATTTTGTTGATTGATTGATTGTATGTTGTTTTACGTTCCGTTCGAGAATTTTTCACCTATATAGAGACGTCACCATATACCGGTAAAGGGCTTCAAATTTAGACCTTTACTCGGCACTCAGGGCCATCGAGCAGTGAGGGTTTTATTGTGTCAACGCCTACCGTGGAACAGGGCCTCATTTTTTCAGGTCTCATCCAAAAGACCCGCAACTTTCACTTCAAAGTGCCGAGCGCTTGGCGAAGGAACAGTTGCTACCAATTTTTTTTATCGGCTTAGGTCAGTCGCGGACGTGATTCGAACACACGACCTTCCGATCACGGAGCGAACACTCTACCGACTGAGCTACCGTATTTCGTTGAAATAATCAATAGGATCAGAAACAAGTTCTAGCAACTTATACATGCTACATATAGTTGTCATGCAAAATATTCTTAAAAATATATATGCAAATAAACTAATTATTGATATACAGCGATTTAAACAGACATGATTCAACAATAAATTAGAATCTATTAGTATGGATTATATTAGTAATGCGATTATTGAATGATAATTAAGACGGTGCGTTTGAAGCATTACTACCTATCATCCTACGGCAGGAATTAAACGTTTTTGAATCTTGCCTAAATTAACTTTTAAACAGCTTCTGGTACAAATTATTTATTAATTACTTCCAACCTAAATGGTTTAACTTAACCAAAATTCCAGCTACAACCTGTAGCTTTCAACCCATAGCTCAAATACATACTATTTTTGCTCTCTTCAAGATAGTGGTTGAGTGATCTTTCTATCGCATATCCATTTCTGAACATTATTTAAAGCCCAAATAAACTCAAAACTATTTTAATAATAATAACGATTAGTTGCAATTGTAGTAGATCAATAAAAATAATTTATGCGTTTTTTTTCCTTTCAGTATAAAAGCAATGTGCATGATACTTTGATTTTGACTTTTGATCATTTGTGGGGAAAAACCAGTTATTGAACTTGATCATTTTCATGCAAAATGTTGCTAATGGGTACATAGTTTGTCCGAATAACCCCAAGTACAGTTTTTAAGATAGATTTTTTTGTTTTGCAGATCAATTGTACATACATGTATATCAGAAATGTGTTCAGTACTTGGATTTTGATTTTTTTTAGAATTAAAGGAAAAAATATCAGTTGCTTAACTTATTCATTTTATGCAAAATATTGATATTGTTGGGATTTCACCCTCTACAGTTTTTAGAATGGAAAGCTTTTTAAGGATAAGATAAGCTAAAATCCCTTTTGGCCCCTGGTTTGTGGTGTCTAGAAGAAAGATGACCTGCACTGACATTTTTTACATGCTGAAGATCATGCTGAAATACAGTTAAAGAAAAAAAACACACCAAAATTTATGATTAATGGAGATATCGAGGAGAAATCTTATTTCACATCTGAGCGATTTTCTGAAACTCTCGGTTTTAAGCCCTTGACCGGTGTGACGTCACAACATGTACCAGCCATATTGAATGCAAAGAAAACAGCAGAATAAAAATGATGTTTTAAGTTTTTTTTTAATATTATTTTTAGGGACTTACGTGAATACAAAATTTATAGTGACAGTAAAATAAGTTCCCAATTGTTTAGTAATTACATGTAGTTCAGAGAATATTTTTTCAATATATTCTGTTTGCAGCTCATATTAAGTAACGAATTCTACGAATAAAAGTACCCTAATCATGTTTTTAATTAATAATAGGAATCCTCCCCCCCCCCCTTAAATATCTGATTCAAACCAATATTATTTAACTTTCTATCCATCTTCGTTATATATATTTATGATATCAGTCATTATTGACTTGATTGGTGTTTTTTTTAATGCAGTCGAAATCTACTTGTGTTTCTAATTTTACTTTGTCGCTAACTGTTAAATGGTAGCAATTATCAAATTTAAATATAGAACAATATCGGTCTATACCAGAAAATTGTCAATTGAATTTGATTATATTGAAGACTTGTGAAGATATAAATGAATAAAGTAATTGATGTAAGGAACACAAAATATAGAATTGAAAGGCATTCCTGTGATTTCCGTTGGTATTTGGTGAATCTTCTGCATTTTAGTCATTTGTTTTCCCAGTAATTTTTTTTCTTCAAGAAAATCGTTTTAGTTCATGAATTTGAAGGTGCTTAAACACAGATTTGAAGTTAATATTTTCTCAAATTTTCTGTATAATATTACGACTTATATATTGCAATAGCATTTCACACGAAAATATAACTAAAAACTTATTTTATCTGCTAATTATTGGAACTACGAATTCCTGGACGAGTTTGATTAACACATCCTTGCACTTTCACGAATTTTATCTTTATCCTTAACATTTAAGAAAAGAAGCGATTTTGTTGTGTATAAATGAAAAACATTACATCTATAATCCAGAAAATTCAGAGTAGAAATGTGCGAAAGCAAACCCCCTCACTAATATCGTCAGCCAGTGCTCAGTGTTGTGTACAGAGTTTAACAAATTGAATACACCCTTGAAACGTAAACTGTTTTTCTAAACAGGGCGAGAGCTCTGTTATTGTTAATGTTTACGATTCACCGGGTGTGTTCAATTGTTAAAGTCTGCACACACCACTGAGCACGGACTGACAATACTGTGAGTGGGTTTTGCTTTCGAACATATCTATTCTGAATTTTCTGGATTACATTTTTAATATTTTCATTAATACACAACAAAATTGCCACTTTTCTTAAGTATTAAGAATAAAATTAAAATTTGTGAAAGTGCAAGGATGTGTCAATCAAACGTGTTCAGAAATTTGAAGTTCCGATAATTACGAGATGAAATAAGATTTTTATTATATTTTAGTATGAAATGCTATAGCAACATATAAGTCATGAAATTATACAGAAAATTTGAGAACATATTAACTTCAAATCTGTGTCCAAGCACCTTTAAATCAATTAATACTTATTGAAATAAACAAAATTGAAAATACAGAAATATCTCTCCATTCTTTTGATATTGAAAAAAGTAGGATATAGAATATTTATTAATTTTTTTTTGACGCGATTACCTGCAAAACAGCAACACAGATTCCTTAAAAAATTGGATGTTGTTGGACAACACTGGCACATCCTTTTAGGCACCTGAAACACGGGGAACGATTGATTAATTTGGAGAAGTTAGATATACGTTCATATTAATTAGCTTATTGATTTGGATTCAGCTGGACAAACAATAAATAAATTAACCTCACGTTAGAGTCGTAACTAGCCGTTTTTTTAAACTGTCAGTTGAATGTTGCAGTTCGAAATTCAATTAAAGTTAACTTAGATAACTCAGATTTAATTGATGTCTTATAGTTATCTCTTTCTTAAAGTCCTTCTGTAGGCCCATTCCATTTACTTAAGGTAAAAAAAATAAATTATGTCATAATTTAGATGACATCATTTCCTAGGATTTTTATTATATTCTAAGGTTATTTACTTTTTAATGTTAAAATGTTAAATAAAAATCATTTACTTCAAGTATGAATTCTCCCTCGAAAAATAGATCACACAATTACAAATCATGTAGTTTGCTATCTATATTCCAGCACTAAGATTCGTTTTTGGGAGGGAAACTGTAATGTAAAAAAATTGGTGGAGTTAACATTTCACCTACTTTTCATTACTTAGTCTTTTCGATAAAATATAATAACATTTCATTTGTCATTGCATATACGAAAATACCTTTGTTTCCGCCCATATGGAATGACTTTCTCTTTTACATATGTAACATATGTGTGAATCGTACGTCTTTGAATCTTAAGTGGAAGAGATATCTCTCAAAGAAGTAACTCTCTAGTTGAAAGAAAGATCTCTCTAAGTGAAAGAGATATCTCTTTAACGTTAAGACATATCTCTATTTACGAAAGAGATATCTCTTAAAGTTAAGAGTTATCTCTTTAAGTGGAAGAGATATCTTTCAAAGTAAAAGAGATATCTCTCTAAACCAAAGAGATATCTCTCTAAGCGAAACAGATATCTCTCTAAGCGTAAGAGATATCTCTCTAAGTGAAAGAGATATCACTTTCATAAAGAGAAATCTCTTAAAGGTGAGAGATATCTCTCTAAGTTAAGAGGTATATCTGTTTTTTAAGAGATATCTCTCTAAAATACCAGATATCTCTGTAATTTTAAGACATATTTTATTTTCCGAGTAAATAGAAAATTTATGAAAAAATTTGAAAAAATAGAGAGTAAATCATAATTAACGTGAAATAAAGGCGATATAAGATATCCTGGTATTCCTATAGTTCCTATAATTAACCCCATTTATATCAAACAAAAATATTTCTTGGAAAAGCATGTAAGTTTGACATGTAACACAACTCAAAGGGTTAAGTTCCTCAAATATTTCTTGAGTGTTAGAATTTTGTGTTTCTGAGTGAAACATTTTTATCTACATCTTTACTCCTTGTTTATATCAATATTAAAAAAAATATAACAAATACTGTTCAGTCTCATAAATCTGGTAAGCTAAACAAATCTTAAACAATGATCTGTGGAAACACCAGAGGTGAGATTTGATGCCTAGGAGGGGAAAGCATCCACAGTTGACCGTTCACATCTGCCTTGAGCCCTTTTTTATTGATGAGGTAAACAAAGCAATAAGTAGTCAAAATTAGCAGAAAAGCAATGCTCAAACAAGTGGAATGAAACTTATAAGATAAACTAATAAACAGTGATAATTTGTATTTGCAAAAAAGATTATGCAAACTACCACAATATTTGTCAAATACAATATTTGTCCCCTTATAAAAGAGGATTATATTTGTGAACGTAACGTTTTAATAACCTAAGACCCGTTTTTACAAAAGAACTTACGACTAAGACCAAAAGCTTTAGTTCATTGTAAAAGTTTGCCGAATGAATGATTCTGTTTAATATTGCTAGCGTAAAAATATATTTCTACATTCCTTTTAAAGAGATTAAAACCATTTTCAATTTAGTGTAAATTTGAAAGTCGTAAGTAGTTCTTTTGTAAAACAGGCCCCTGACTCTTTATTAAATATTCTTAGCATTAATAGTTTTTTTTTTTATCAAATAAACTATAAAATCTTTACAAATCAATGTTATAAATAATGCAAATATCTAAGACCGTGTTTATAAACTACGAAATATTTAAACTTAAAAGAAACTCGTAGTACTGTCACCGACATCATAAAAAGTTTGACGATAGCAAACAATTTAATGATCAATCTCATAAATCGTATAAACAATACAAATCAAGATTAGAGAGAAAAAAAACCCAGACCCACTGGAAACACAACGGTTGGGATAAGGTGCCTGGAATTTAACTAGAAGTCATCTCCGGGGGGGGGGGGGGGGGGAGGGTTCTTTAGCAGGAATTGTGAAATCAAATAACCTGGTATGCTAGGTTTTAAAAAGTGGATAGCATTTGAATTAGTTTTGCAAATGCTTTCAAAGCTTTGAAAAGCGATCAAAAGAATTTTTGTTATCACGGTTATGCCCTGTCAATAAAACAATGAAGTATACATGAAATTATTGTTTTCATGTCTTTTTATTGTCATATTCTGAAATTTATTTTTACAGTCCGTGATTTAGCACTAAGGCCATAAAAAATTAATTAATAGTTTCTCAGGCCAACAATTTCAAACTTCAATGCGACAGGCAGGGTTTTTTTTTTTTTTTTTTTTTTTTTTTTTTTGTTTGTTTGTTTGTTTGTTTGTTTGTTTGTTTGTTTGTTTGTTTGTTTTTGAAGCAGGTATCTTTTTTTTATGTTAGTAGTTCCACAAATTGATGATATTAACTGATTCTTACTTTTTTGTTCACTTAATATAATACTAATTATAATGTACTCAACTTTTAATTATTTTATTCTAAGCATTTCTTTAAAAATTAATTAATAAAGGACTGTATACACTAGAAGAATATTGTTTATCTAATAAAAACGTCTATCTATTAATTGTTATGAAAGGGAAATAACTCAATTTTCTTTATCAACTTGGAAAAATAGAAAATTGAGTTATTTCCCTTTTCAAAATGTCAATGCGGCCGTTTTTGACCTGATGCGGCGGTGCCTGAGAAACTATTAATTAATTTTTTTTTGGCCTAAATGCAAGTTGATAACTTGGCACAACATCAATCAGAGTGAAAAATTAGTGGCTCATGGGCCACAACGCTCACGTCAGTCACTTTGGCCCTACTATTACGCATAATCTTATTATGATTATATGATATTATGATTTTCTTCTCAATATACATGTATTCATTTTTTTATCGTCTTTTGGGGCCCCACCCTATACACAAAGGCCGTGATATGAGCAAAAATGAATCAACACAGGCAGAGGATGCTACCACATTAATATGATAAATAATTGCTTGAGTATAGAATTTTAAAGACTTTTCCCTAGGTAATCCCTATTGTGGTCGTACCCTACCCCAAGGGACCGCGCATGATCTGAACAATTTAAAATCTACACTACCTCTGGAAACTTCTATAAAAGTTACACTTTATCTTGTCCAGCCGTTTTGAGAAGATTTTTAAAGAATTTTCCTATATATTTCAATGATTTGAATAATTTAGACTCTACATTACCCCAGGAAGCTTTCACAGAAGTGTCAGATTTTCTGGCCCAGTGGTTCTTAAAAAAGAAGATTTATTAGGATTTTTCCTATATATTTCAATGTAAAACTTTGATTCCCTGTTGTAAGTCCACCCTACCCCCGGAGCAATGATTTGAACAATTTAGAGTCTACAGTCAACACTACCCCAGATACCTTTCACATAAGTTTCAGCTTTTCTGGCCCAGTGGTTCTTGAGAAGAAGATTTTTAAATGCCCCACCCTATTTTCGCCTTTTCTTGATTATCTCCACCTAGAATGGGCTTGGCTCTTTATTTGATCGATTTATAATTTTCTTTACCTTGGGATGTTTTGTACCAACTTTGGTAAAACTGGCCCGTTGGTTCTTGAAAAGAAGTTGAAAATGTGAGAAGTTTACAGATAAACGGACGGACGGACGGACGGACGGACGCCGGACAATGGGTGATCAGAAAAGCTCACTTGAGCTTTCAGCTCAGGTGAGCTAAAAAGACTTGAATTTTTAATACTATCATAAGTAGGCTGCAGGTCATCTCTAAAGTTATCTTTTTTTTACAGACTTCAAATACATGCTTCTTTTTCACAATTTCAAATATTAGTTGTCATCATTTATGACGAACACTTTTTCATTAAATTAAGTTTTTCATCTTCTTTAAGGCACGTTCATTTTCGTTACATTCATAGCATCCTGATTCATCATTGTATAAAATATTGATAACCTCTTTGAAACGAACATCCTTAGTTGGCAGTGGATCATTAAGCTGTACACCTTTTACGCAATGGTGCAGAATAATTAAAACAGGTTTCACTGTATCTGTAAATAAACAAGTTTTTAACATTAACTAAAAGAAACACATGATTTTTTTTGCATGTTATAGGTTAATATTTATTTAAAACGGCAGTCTCAAAAACGAATATATTTATCTCTGAACATACCTGAAAGATGAACACTTGAAATAGTGTGTGCTATATCATCTTCTAAACGAGACAGTTTTAGACAAACAAGAAAAACGTTTTTTTGTAAGTCTATATCGTTGGCACTTGCCTTCCAAACAATATCGAAGTTCCAATGGTACATCATTTTAAACCCGCTGATTAATTTCTTGCATTCATCTTCCCTTGCCTTGCAAAGGAATTGCAATGTATGTTTGCCTAGAAGGATAACATACAGTGTATGATAAAACATCATTTTCATTGATATTTAAAATTCTTTCGAATTGAAAAAAAAACAACAAAAAACTTCTTGCATATCTAATGCTGGTGTATGCTTACGCAGATTTTTTGACTTCTTGCTTTCGGGCGTCTGCTTATCTTCTGAAATGTATAGAAAATATAGATATTTTAGTCTACGCAGTGCTTACGTAAATGTCTGCTGAGTTTGTTTAAAATATTCAAAATGAATACGTTTTGTCGTACCCTGGTTTTACCGGATTTGTTTTCGTTTTTCTTTTAAAGTCTAAATGGAAAATTTGAATACTCTTCTGTTTTCTTTCAGTTTGAAAAAAAAAATCAGTTAAAACAAAAATCATTTTATAAAG